TTATAGCTTACCTTTTTGACTCAGAAATTCTGGTGTGCACCTTAATTCTCAAAATGTCTAATGCCCTCTCTCTCGGAGGCACAAAACATGGTGTGGTATGGAGTTTTGCTCCGTTGCCCCTTACTAGCTGAGCCATTAGTGGGCTGGAAACAAGGAGTCAATAGATTTCTTCTGCCAATCCCAAATCTTCTCTGTTTTCCCTTGCTCCCCACCCCCACCCCCCAAGAATTGTATTGCAACAGAGCCAAAAGTTGTAGCTTACTGGGGACACACCAATAGTTGCCAATTTTCCACAGCATTTTTTGGAGGACCAGATGATCATTTGAGCATACCCAAAACTTTCTTATGCTCAACTTTTGGGGGCTCCAGGCTAGAGGATTAATACAGCAGAATGCATTCAGAAAGAGAAGTGGTCAAAGTTCAAAAAGGCCATAATACTGTGCCTGTTTATTGACTTATTGTTTTTGCTCCTAAAAAAGAACTAAAAGAGTAGAGGTATTAAAGTGAAGCAAGAAGGGAAATAAGTAAAATGAGGTAGCTTAAAATGATGAAATACTAGAAAAGATAAGATAAAGGTAGGATTAAATATAAAAATAGGTATATCCAGATGAACATAAAAAGAAAATATCACAGCAGAGAAGTAAGGAGTAAGGAAGACAAAGGATTAAATGGAAGAATAGGTAATAAGGATAGATAGATGTTAGAGAGGATAGTATGAAAGTTGGAGTGGTTTTAATGGTGTGGGGTGGGGAAAGGTGTATATCAGTTTAGCACAAATTAAGCAAGGGTAAAGGTAGGAGGGTTGAGTGGTATAACTGTAAATTTTTAATGTGAAGTCATAGGCTTTCATGGCCGGCATCCATAGGTTTTTTGTGGGTTTTTCGGGCTGTGTGGCCATGTTCTAGAAGAGTTTCTTTCTGACGTTTTGCTAGCATCTGTGGCTGGCATCTTCAGAGAAAAAAAAATGAATTATTTTTTTTTCTCTGAAGATGCCAACCACAGATGCTGGCAAAACGTCAAAAAGAAACTCTTCTAGAACATGGCCACACAGCCCGAAAAACCCACAAAAACTATGTAAATTTTTATTCTGTATAATTGTGTATAATTAATTTTATATGTGAATATAGGTTTATGTGATGTGATATATAAGATACACATGTGTTTGTGTGTGTGTACACACACACACACACACGTATGTGGAGAATGTAAGTGAGGTTTTATTTGTTTTTTAACAATAAAGGAAAAAATTAAAAATATATTTTTATTTTAAATGAATCCAACAAATAGCAATAAACTGTAAACAATAGCATCTCATTTCAACCTAAACAACAACAAAACAAGAAAAACACTATAACGTTACTTCTCTGTTCCCAGTATGCAGTTCACTATAGTTTGCCAATCTTCTTTTTTCAACTCTTCAATCAATCAATTTTTATTATATAGTCACAGACGATATGCAAAATGGATATGCAAATACATTAAAATACAAAATATTGTTTAGGTTTTCTATCATATTTTATAGGATGGATATTTTGTGTTTTCAGTCTTGTTTCTGCTCCAGATCTTTTTTTCATCACAGATATATCTATTTCAAAAAGCATCTCACCAAACATAAGGAACATGCTTTGTTAATTTAAAAGCAGTGAAGTAAAGCATACTTAGTGCTTGAGGGTGATTTCTGCTTTCTGTGTATTAAGTCCAGGTTCTCATGCGTTAATGAACCCCCCCCCCCCAATGAATTGTTTTATAACAGAGCAGGGAATTATTCACTCTTAAGGACATTATCTGCTCTACACTTATGCAACAAACTCCCTTCTCTTCTGCCAACAGGCCAGGTATTCAGCTCCAGATGAGCTGTTCCTCTTAAGACAGTGAATAGCAGAGGTTGTGCTTCATACAGTATGCAATTGATATAATAAAGGACATTGCTACAGACAAGCCTAAATATCCTAAAGACACCACTTTCCATCTGATCTTGGAAGTCAAGCAGGGGCAGCCCTAGTTAGTATTTGGATGGGAGACTGTCAATGAACACCAGGTGATGTAGGCTATATTTCAGAGGAAGAAACTGGAAAAATCACTTCTGAGTAGTCCTTGCCTAAGAACCCCTGTTAAATGTATGGGGTCACCATAAGGTGGCAGGTGATTTGAATGTACATACACACACACATTGCTACAGCCTGAGACAGTGTGTAGCACCTGTGCAAGTAGAAAAGAGACAACATTCTTTGCGCAAACAAGACAGAGAACGATAGAGGTTTTGATCTTGTGTATAATAGTAGAACTTTGGTCAGAAGTAGAAGGTTCCATCTAGCTGATTCCATATAGATGGCAGGGCTTTATTAATTCATTGTCCAAAGAGGTTATTTTAGTCATCATTTTCTAGATTAATCATGAACCTCATGATTTACTCAAAAAACCAGACACAAGAAGAGGAGCACAAGAGTGCAGTAGGAGGAACAGCTAATGAAAGCACATCTCTAAAGCTAACAACCATTCTTACAATCTGATACGTCCATTCTTAAATATAGAGTTTATCTATATATTAACAGATTTAACAGATAACTGTTAAATATTGCAACAGGCAAGCAGACTCTTTTGCAATTGGGAATCAGAGAGTAAATTTACAAATACAGTATGATCTGCTTTCAAAAGACACAAAACATAGCACATACTATGGACGAATCTTCAATGAGCTATACATATTGGGAATGTGGTGTGCTTACTGAAAGGGTCATTTGTCTACTCTTGTGCATTTCAATATTTCTCTGGCTCTTATTTCAATTATTTAAAAAGTTATATGGTGGGCCTTTGGTATCCACTAGGCTTTGTTCCAGGATACCCCATTGACACTAAAATCTATGGATGTTCAAGTCCCATTATATACAATGGTGTAGTGAAATGATGTCTCTTATATGTAATGGCAAAATCAAGGTGTTCTTTTTGGACTTTTTTTTTTAAATTCAAGCCGTGGTTGAAACCATCAATGCAGAATCTGTAGATATGGAGGGCCAAGTGTATCAGAGGATTTCATGGGTAGGGCAACACAAAGAAATTAAACATATAACCATATAATGATTTTAAACAAATAAACACATGGTAAAAACCATATGCACTAAATACTATCACATGTTTCATTTACAAAGCAAGAAGATGTGGAATAGAGTCACAAAAGTACATAGCATTGTAAAGAAGCAAACAGCAGCAGCTTATTCACGGAAGGACTCAAAATATCGTATCTCCTGCCAATCATTGTCCTCATTTTTACCCATGCAAATTCATAGACTGAATTAACTCATCATACATTTTGCTCATAATTATTCCAGTTTCCATAGACTAGAAGTAGGCCTCATTATACATAATTACAAATAGTCTCCATTTGAACGGTGAACCAAATAATTACTACTACCAGCCTACCAGGTAATCATACTTAAAACATGGAAATTGTTATTCTGGTGGTAAATCCTGATGCTGAATGCTGTTGTAATGGATAGACAGAAAGACGAAGCCCATCTTTTAATCCCCACAACAGCTTGATAACTCACAGAATAGCACAGCCCTTAAAGAAAGAGCTAGAGCCCTGGGGAATTTTATCAAAGAAATCAGTATATCAACTCCACTATATATTATACATTGTTCAATTTAAAACATATAGCTTGGACAGCCCTAATCCAGAAATCCAAAAAACCTCCAAAACCCAAAACATTTTGCTAATAAATGATACACAAAGCAAAAGAGAGACAAAAGGATCTGTGAAGTGGCAGGTGTGGATTTGTAGCAAGGACTATGCTTGGATTTCTGCCATTTCACAGATCCTCAGTCTCCAGCCACATCCTTCATCAGCCTCCCATCTCTTGCATCTCTCTCCACCCTTGCAAATATAATATGTATACTATACTACTTGTGTTGCATATTATGTATTGTTCATATGCAAATGCATGTATTGCGAAATCTGAAAAAATACAAAATACAAGACCTCTGGTCCCAAACATTTAGAATAAAGGGTACTCAAAGTGTACAGACAGTTCTTGAACCACTTTACATAATTATGTGTCAACTGTAAAGATTTATCACTGAATACCAAAATCAGGATTGTCCATGCTATCATATTTCTGATTTTTATGTATAGTTGTGAAAGCTGGACAGTGAAGAAATCTGTTGTGGTTGCTGTTAACTGCCTCTGTGTCAATCTTGACCCATGGCAGTGACCCTATGGAGGGGACATCTCCACCCCCACCCCTTGTCCTCTACTGCTCTGCCCAGCTCCTGCAAACTCATATTCATGGTCTCTTTAATAAAGTCCATCCATCTAGCATATGGCCTGCCTCTCTTTCTTCTTCCCTCCACCTTTCCTAACATTATTGTCTTTTCCAATGATCCATGCCTTCCCATGATGTGTCCAAAGTACGACAGTCTAAAGTCTTGTCATCTTGGCTTCTAGGGATATCTCTGGCTTGTTCTGCTCTAGGACCCATTTGTTTGTCTTTTTGGCAAATCTGACAGGAAGAGAATCAACTCACTTGGAATGTGGTGCTGGAAGAGAGTTCTACAGATACCATGGATTGCCAAAAAATAAAAGGATCCAAGGACAATTCAAGCCTAAACTCTCCTCAGAAGCCAAGATGACTAAACTGAGACTATTGTACTTTGGACATATCATAAGATGCCATTACTCACTAGAAAAGATAATAATGCTTGGTAAGGTAAAAGGCATTAAGAAAAGAGGGAGAACACATTACAGGTGGATAGACTTAACCAAGGAAGTTACAGCCCTGAGTTTGGAAGATCTGAGCTGTTGATAAAGATCTGTTGATAACAAGAAGGCCTCTCATTTGTTGCTGTTGTTGTTGTTGTGTGCCTCCGTGTTGTTTCTGTATTATGGTGACCTTATGGTGAACCTACCACAGGGTTTTCTTGGGAAAACCTATTCGGGGGGGTTGCTTTGCTCCCTCTGAGGCTGAGAAAATGTAACTTGCTTAAGGTCACCCAGTAAGTTTCCATATCCAAGTGGGGATTCCAATCCTGGTCCCCAGAGTAACAGTCCAATGCTCAAACCACTACACCACTCGGACTCTCATTCTTAGGGTCAACATAACATGAAGTCCACATAAAAATACAGTGCCCTAAAAGCATAGAAAAGGGAGTGTCATGATGAACTGTGGTTTTATTAGGTATCTTAAATAAAAGAATAACATTTATCAGCTTGGATGTCATCATGCCAACTCTTTGCTTTTTAAACAACAGATTTTAGAATTCTCTTTAACTAACTGTATTTGTTCTTCAAAAAGTGAAGAGATTCACACCTGTCTTATAAGGCAACATCAATCAGATTAGATTTCCACTGTGAAAATATACTGCTGAGTCTGTCATTGTCCCACACCACTGGAATGATGACCATGTTTAGGTTTCATTTACCCAGTCAAGAACAATTTTGTTTCTGTCTGCACTGAATGGTACTTTCTTTTCTTTCTTTTTTTCTTTTTTTGAAAAGCACTAATGGCAAAGTAGTTTGCTTAAATAAATCATTCCATTAACTGTCAAAACAGTTCAGACCCTGCACCTCAAAATGCTGAAGCTACTGAGAGCTTTAGTGGTGTGATCAAATCATTTCAGCAGGAGAAGTCCTCAGTCATTTTAATATGACCAGTTCAGACAATTCTTTGTAATATCTTTTAGTTATTTCCTAGCAGAAAGTTTACCTAGGCCTAACACACTCATAACAACAACAAGGGTTGTATCCAATAGTTGCCATACACTAGAACAAAGCACCTAACACTCCCAAAACATTTGACATCATATTTCTGATCATCATCTATGTCTACTCTAGCCCTTCGTAGTAGTCCCCAAACTCTGTAACAACATTTTTAGGTCCTTCAGAAAATAGCATTGGGGGGGGGACAAATAAAGGTAAAATTTAATTTCTTCACCCCACCTCACTTCCCATATCTAGTTTCTATGCAGAGGGATTATTTTCTATCAAGGGGCATTCTACGAGGCAAGCTTCTAACTGCAACTTGTGCCCTCTCCTTCTGAGAGTAATTTAATATGCACTTTATTCGGGTTATTTTCCGCAGTAAGCTTGACAAATCCTTGTTGCCTTTCTCCACTAGATGGTGGTAAGAGGAGAGAAACCACAAGCTCCTTCCAAGATGAGAAATCTTTAGGAATTTAACACAAGAATAAAACAGCAAGTCTCATTGTTAGAATAATGCCATACCTCCACCCTCCTCAAAAAAAGAAGACTTCTGGTTTCCACAGAAGTGAGCAACATGCTGGACATTAAAGGACATCCATAGTTTTTTGTGGGTTTTTCGGGCTGTGTGGCCATGTTCTAGAAGAGTTTCTTTCTAACGTTTCGCCAGCATCTATGGCTGGCATTAAAGGACATCATCTGAGGAAGCCCCATGAGAAGACAGAACTGGACACAGCCATGCACCTGCCCTCCTATATAAAATAACAAAGGCCTATGCCACTAGATGTTTGCCAGATGCAGCTTTGTGGAATAAAAACCCAACTAGAGCAGTCAGCCTTCAGTATTTCTGCAACCAAGAGTCAACCTTCTGCTACACCCTGATGATGAAAAAGAAAAGAAACCTAACTCTTAAAACCCCTAACTGTAAGAATGAAAATAAAATTCCAAACTCAGTTTTTGACAGACCTAGCCTACTGAAATGGCTGGGCACCTTTTCCTTATTCCATTCATCTGCATTATCTGGAAAGGCTTCTTTGCGGTAATTAGGACGGTCTTCTGATGACAACAGTCTTCACTACAGTGGAAAAGTCAGCACACTTCTGGACACACTGATCATGGAAAGAGATTTGATTTACCATCATATCAACACAGTTGCTGTATATGGAAATTTGCTTGAAAATAATTGAGATCATATTTAAGCCATAGTTTTAAGCATATTCTCTGGAAGGCGAGTACAACTGAAACCAATGGACTTAACTTTTAAGTAACAGACATTATTTGGGTTGCAAATTAAAAACAATCCAATCAGATCACAGTACTGAGGAAGGGGAGGACAATCCCCAACAAACAAGAATGTTGCCAGAAAAGTATTCTGTTGCACAAACAGCCAAAAGATGTTATGATGTAGCCCAGTTACAATTGTCAGTGCATTTACTGTAAATAGCAAATAAACAGAGAGCCAGTGTGGTGTAGTGGTTTGAGTGTTGGACTATGGACTCCGGAGAGCAGAGTTTGAATCCCACTTGGCCATGGAAACCCACTGGGTGACCTTGGGTGAGTCACAGTCTCTCAGCTTCAGAGGATCGCAATGGCAACCCCCCCCCCGAAGAAACTTGTCAAAAAAATCCTGTGATAGGTTCATCTTAGGGACAACCATTATGTGCATTGCTGGTTGATAGTGCCCTTGATGAGCATCTTTTATGCCCATCTTTATACAATTTATACTGTTGTTACCACATGGACTTCTCTTAAACTGGGATCTAGTAAATACACTCATTATCACTTTCAGGGCCTGCAATAGCAGATCATTTTGTTGGTCAGGTTTTCATCCTTTGGTAAAATCATAGAAATCCAAGTTGTGAGAACCTACCAAACACCTCAAATTAGGAAATGCCCCAATTTTTACTGAAATGGGGAAAAACATGGATTAAGGCTTGAAATGTATTAGTGTGGGACAGTGGAAGAAAATGATGTAACTCTAAATAGATGGTTATGATTTTGCAAGAAAAAATATATTACAAATGTTTATTGCAATCATTAGATGACAAATGATTAATTAACTGCAGTTGAGAAAAGGGAGGCTTGAAAAGTTCACACTGTATTTCCCTGCATTAATTTAAACTAACCAGTGAAATCTTTGGCTGCAGCTCTCCTACCTTCTAGCATACCCAAAGAGAAAGCTTCCTTTCATTATGTAATTGCCAGCATCACCTTAAATGGAGCTCAGCTTTAAAGCTGAGCAAACTGCTGTATATGCAAGCTCAGCTGGAAATGCAGTTGCCAATCCTACCATTTGCTTAATTAGAATACTAATAAACCTCTGTATGTAGAAATGTCCATAGTAGCTGTTTTGAGTGCTGTCCCTGGCCGTGAACCTCTTTTTCTCTTTGTATCTCAGAACTCATTGCTGTATAGCCCAGGGAGAATTCAGGCTGGAGCTCCATTGTTCTAATCATCTGTTAACTGGAGCCTTACACATTCCCTTCGGTATAGTTTCTATTATGTACTTCTCTTGATAGTTCTGGTTAAACTCTTAGTAATGGGAATTGCACAACTGAGAAGCTACACACCTGAGATTTCAAGCAGCAATAATGACACAATACCTTAGTAAACATATTTTGCATGAAATATTCATTATACCAGAGAGTCAGCATGGAGTAGTGGTTTCAGCATTGGACTATGACTCTGGAGATAAGAGTTTTATTCCCTGCTCAGCCATGGAAACCCACTGGATGATCTTGGGTGAGTCAATAAACTACAATTCCCATGATTCCCTAGCACTGAGCCAGGGCAGTTAAAGTGGACTCAATTTGCACTATTTCTGGCAGTCTGCAAAGGTCCATAGACACCCAACCCCAGAAAACCCTGCAATAGGTTCACTTTAGGGTTGCCATAAATCAGAAATGACTGAAAGGCACACAACAACATTCATTATACCAGAGAACTAGCTCCTCTGTAGACACACACACACACACACAAGCAAGTATGGGATTGTGTCCTGCTCCATTAGAAGAGAAGCATGTTTTGTTGTGGGTTATAAAGCTATGAATTACAAAGGTGCAATTAATTCAGAAGCCCTGTGAGCACTAATATATTTACCATGAAGAACAGTTTGCTCTTCTGATGTCAGAAAAAGGAGTTCCAAACAAATTGTACTTGTAAGGTTGATGCATAAATATTAATTATTAAACTCTGAGAACTGGTGCTTGCAAAGCACCCTAGTCAGTCCAATAAAATTAATTCCCAAGAATTAACTGCACACAGTGTAAAAGTTAATGGTAAAGGCAAGCATGATTTTTTTTACTCAACTTGAGTACAAAGTGGGGATGGTATTTATGACAATGAAAAAGAATGGAAGGGACGGGATGGGGGGGGGAGGGCAAATCCTTCTACAAAGTTGCTTCAGATACATCTCATATCAGCAGTGACCACCAATGGTAACCAAACCAAAGTCTTGTCATGCAACAGTACTTCTACCTGTCTCCTGCAGCCCCCACTTCCAGCTCCAGTCTGCTCTGGGGGTTTCCCAACCTTCTGGAACAGATCTTGAGGCCATCTAAGGGGCTACAGAAACAACAAAGAAAACTCCTCTTCCCATTCTACTGAAAGAAGCAGTGAAACTAACGGAAAAACTTAACTGGATACCATCCTAGGCCTCCAGCCCCTTATTTACGTGAAGAAGAAACACAGTTTTCCTTTCCTGTCTATGGTTTTCATATAAACTCCCTCCCATATAAAAACAATTTTGTATTTACTTTGTTGGCCACAGTTCAAATCATGATGCCACTCCTTAATAGCTGGATTAATTGAATTGTGTGATTAATTACTGGATCAATTGAATCCAGTAATTCAGATGATACTGCAGAAGAGTAGCATCTAGTACAAAGACTGTTATGCATTTTACAGCTTCACAGGGAAAGCATACTAGCTGACAGAAGTACCATCAAATGCAATTTTATTTCATTTAAGCAGTCACTGTGTGAATGCTGCAAAGACACATGAAGAATTGGGACTAGACTCCAGAAAAATTGTTAGCTGGGTTACTTGTCTGCAGTATGCAGAAGTTGAGGCAGCACAGCAATACATCCATGCAAAAATGTGGAGTAGCAATTAAGCTCATGAAAATGGGGAGAAAGCCAAATTCTGATTTTTAAGACATTTCAAACATGTTTTTTCATAGTACCTGGAAATATGTGTGTTTCACATGAAGAGGAACGTGAAACAATGAAAGATTTATTTAGAACTCATTTTCATAGATATACACTTGCAAGATATGTGAACAAAGACTAATAAAGGTAATGATCAGGAATCATCCTCAGGTTAGTGTCAAAAAACACTACAGGAGCTGAAAACCATTTATGACATTCTAAAAAGTTGTAC